GAGTCTGTGCATAACTACTATTATGCTAATTGTCCGGGTAGCTTAGGGCCCATATCATGTCATACCTGCAAATATTTACGTTTTTGCTTGCTATGAGATCATTTAGGACATGCTAGGAATTGTAAATAAATGAATGTACGCACTTACTTGAGAGCTTGTATGAATTTATTTGATTATAAATGAGCAATGTGTGCTTACTTGATAATAATTTCTATTTGTAGATTGGGCCGATCGCCTCGGTAGAAATAGATGCATCTATGGTTCGCGCCATTCGACCCTTTAGCAGTGAACAATTATTATTATGTTGGACCGGGCCTTACGACCTCGGCATAATGTGCGCATGTTATTTATGTGGAATTCATCTATGATTTACTCTATTTAAATGCTTTGAAATGTAAATTACTATATGACATGACTAAAATTGATATATATTGTTTCTCCTTATTCTGAGACTGTCATTATATTCATGCTATCCATACTTAGCGTAAACCTTATATATTATTGATATTGACCTTAATAAGTATCAAGTCGACCCCTCGTCACTATTTCTTCGAGGTTAAAATGGATACTTGATGGGTACATGTTGTTTATGTACTCATACTATGCTTTGTACTTAACTGTACAGGATCTTAGGCAGGTGCATCTAGTTGCCCGTCCGGCGCACATTCCTGATTCCTGATCGAGATTTCACGGTGAGCTGCCCATTTTAAGCCGTTCAGTAGCATACCAGAGTTCTCCTCTTTTGTTATTGTTATGTACTTTTTATTCTATTTCAGGCAGTAGGATGATATTATTTTTGTACATTCTACTAGTTGCCCTAATATTTGTGACACTAGTTCTTGGCACACACTTGTAGACCATTATTTTGGAATTTATTTATATTATTATGATCTTGTTATTTATCGATTTATTAAAAGCTTAACTGTTAAGTATGTTGGGGTTGTTTGGGTAAAATAATGAGAACTCATTAGTTGAATTAGAGTTGGCTTTCCTGACAATGGTGTCGGGCGCCATCACAACCTACGATGGGATTTGGGTCGTGAGAGAAGCCATGGGATCAAAAAATGAGTTCCTTCACCGACGGTTTCGTCGATAATTCCTCGGAACCGGTCGAAGAGTACGAGGCCGCCATCGATGGTGTACAGGGAGGAGCTGAGAGCCGTTGCGCCGACGCTGATTCCAAATGCGGCTTCTGCTAGGTTTCTCAGAAGTGATAGTACTGCTTGATTGCTACCCACTTTTTACAGAGAGTTTTAGGGTTTTTGGTACGAAGAATGGGAGTAGAGGGAGGATTGCAAGGTTTTTGGTAGAGAATAGAGTGTTGTACAAGAAAAACCATAAACCTCGGCGCCGGTACCGGGGCGCCGTCTCACATGACGGTGCCTGGATATCGGTGGATTGTGGACGGAGTTTGGAGTTGAGGAACTTGAAAAGTCTGTTATCTTTTTTTTCATTGTATTTCAATGTATCTCGTTGTATTCTATGTATTTCATTGTATTCACTGTCTTTAGTTTTTTCTACTTTTTCAATATATTCATTGTATTTAACTGTATTCAATATAATTATATAATTTCAAAGCTTTACTTTGTTTCACTGTTTTGTCCAGCAGTATATATTCAGCAATATGTATTCAATGTATTGTAGAATGTATTCATATATTTTTTAATTAATATAATTTATGTATTCAGATGTATATATGTATTCAAATGTATCTGCAGTATGTATTAATATGTTTTTGCAATATAGATGACCTGCTATACTTCATGTATTCAATGTAATTATATAATTTCAATATATAAATCTATTTGTAAAGATACCACTAAAAATATTTTAGTAAAAATACCACTAAAAAAAGAAATGATGGATTGAATCTCTGAAGATTGCTCTGTTTTGGGGGTATTTTTCGATTAAGAATCTTTTCTATAATTAGAAATACAAATTTTGTGTGTTATAATTGAGTTTGTTGAGTTATATTAGGATTCTATCGCGTTAACTGATTCACTTACCATTTTAAAATAGTTGAAGACCTTTTTTTCCGTAAATTTCATTATTGTATTCACGAATACAGCTCGCGAATATATATGAATATAGTTATAAATCTTTTTTATCACTGGAAATACAAATTTGTATGTTATAATTGAGTTTGTTGAGTTATATTAGGATTCTATCGCGTTAATTGATTCACTTACCGTTTTTAAACAGCTGAAGACTTTTTTTTTTCCGCAAATTCCGTTACTGTATTCATGAATACAACTCGCGAATACATATGAATACAGTCTATACGTTAGTTGTAATTTCTTTTTTTCTACCGATTTTTCCTATTATATTCATAAATACACTAACTTAATTAGATGGAATACACTCTATAACAAGTTAAAATATAGCTATACTAAGTAATTTAGTAAATGATAGCTATAAATCTTCTTGTTTTAGCTTTACGGAAGGGACGCCTGACTCCTTAAGCGCCTATCCTTTTTCTTCCAAACCAACTCACTGTTCTCTTCCGACTCCGTTAAACCCTATAACTCACCCCTCTTCACATCATCTTCTCCTCTCTTCTCTCTCAAAAAAATTCTCCAACAAAGAGAGAAGACGAGATAGGAGCTCCACAATATGAACCCCTCACTTCTCCTCACTACCAACCAACCTTCTGTAAACCCCACCACAACTACTTTCTTATCTCCTTTTCTCAACCCTACTCCTCTCCGTTTTACCCGTAAAATCTCCCAGAAACGCCACCATTTTCGCTACAATTACAGTTTATCTACTGTCCGTTCATCTGCTTCTTCTGTCCCTGACAAACCCCCTTCGTCGTCTATTTCGGTCAAGCCAGATGTCTTTGGAGGTAAGAAAGAGCTTTCTCCTATTCAATCCCTCGTGGATGCCATGTCACCGCCCATCAGAATAGCCAGCTCGGCTTTAGTATTTGCTGGCGCTGCGGCTGCTGGGTACGGGCTTGGTGTTCGTTTTGGTGGGTCCCGCAATGCTGGGGTGGGTGGTGCTATTGCTCTTGGTGCTGCTGGTGCCGGCGCCGCTTATGCATTGAATTCCTGTGTTCCTGAAGTCGCGGCTATTAACTTGCATAACTATGTGGCTGATTTTGAGGACCCTGCTGCCTTGAACAAGGAAGATATTGATGCAATTGCTAATAAGTTTGTCCACTATACTCATTTGATTTATTTATTTATTTATTTGCCAGTCTATTTACCCGCAACTAATGCTTGCACCAACCAAATTAATTAATATGTGCTATTTCTTGGATTTGTGACCAATGCCCCACTTAAAGTTAAATTAACATGAGTTGGTGCAAACACTGGGTGTGCGTAATTTTTTCCCGTAGTGGGTTGCTTGAATAGTGTAATTCTCAGGAAAAAAAAAAAAAACTCTAATGCGGATGCTTGGACCATTTGCTTTGATTTGATTGATTATCTTTGTGATCAGCTAAGTAGCCTAATTATCATTTTATTTCTGGCTTAATGACCTTTTAGTAACAATTAGTTATTTCAGACAATTGACCGGTGCTGTGGCTGGATTACAGACTATTTTGTTTCCCAAACATGCTACTACCACATATATATTTTAGCTTTTTCTTCTAGAACTTATTTATCAAATTCCATGTTGGCTACTTTATGAGCTTTCACACACTAAATTTTATCAGAGTTCTCTAACTTTTCTAGTTTCGTTTATTGACGTTTGTCACCTCATTTCTTTACCCCTTTACTTCTTTTTATTGTTTAGGTATGGTGTCAGCAAACAGAATGAGGCATTCAATGCGGAGCTACGTGATATATATTGCCGGTGAGTGATAAATTGTCTGCACTGAAGTACTAACTTGTTACGAACACCCTGGCTGACATGAACGCTTTATATATTTCTGAAAAAAATAAATCGAGTAAAACCTCTTCAATGTATTATCACATCTCTCTCCTTTTTCGTTTTCGGTTTCTTTTGTGCTCTTTGTTTCTTTTTTCCCCCAACTGTCGTATGACAAATTTTCTTTATATGAGTTGCTTGTTTGTGAATAAAAGTAGCAGAGTTTGACCCTATTAAGCACTTTGTAGGGCAAAGAATGGGTTTTGTAGTTAATTGGTTGCTTGCTACGTCCAAACATATTGATTTTGTTTCCTTTCTGAGATGTTTTTTCCTTGATTAAGATCCCTGAAAAGTTTTAAGGTTGTGTCAACTTTTGCAGATTAAAAGAAAAAGAAAGTATTTGTCACCTTTCTGCTGTTACAACTTCTTGCACATGCTTTTCTATACAATTTCAGTTCCTTATGACCCAGAAAGTATCAAAATTGCTATCCTTGTCTTGGCATATTGACCCAATTACATTTGAATGCTATAACTAACATGGCGTGATACTTGTTTCAGATACGTAAAAGGAATCAAGCAGAGATTTTTGCTTATTCACTTCAAATGATTATTTTGAATTTATATGTCCTTTTTATTTACCAGTGACATGGCCCATATAACTTATCAGTTTAAACATTTTTAGCTTATCTGCGCCTTCTTATGCATCAAATTTGATTTGTGTTCAGATATGTATCTGCTGTCTTTCCTACTGGGACTGAAGAACTTAGAGGCGATGAAGTTGATACCATAATCAAATTTAAAAATGCTTTGGGAATTGATGATCCAGATGCAGCAGATATGCATATGGAGGTAACTTGAAGTATTTATTTGATTCTGTACCTCAGCATTACAATACTCCTAGCTGTGGTGGGTTTGCAAAGGTAGAATGTTATGTTGATGAGCTACGTTTGCTTTAATAAATAATTCGTCAAGTGTTAAGAAACTTATGCATGTTGGTTTCTCAGATTGGCAGGCGAATATTCAGGCAACGACTTGAAACGGGAGATCGTGATGGAGATATAGAACAGCGTCGGGTGGGTCATCTCTTTAGCTTTAATTTCCACTTTATGGCTACTGTACTGCCTTTAGTTATCAAAGAACAATAAATGGAACTTGACCATTTCTGACTTCTCCCGTGCAGGCATTTCAGAAGTTGATATACGTCTCAACTCTCGTATTTGGAGAAGCATCTGCATTCCTTTTACCTTGGAAACGTGTTTTCAAGGTTACTGATTCCCAGGTAGTGGATAATTCGATGCATCTCCGTTGGCCCCTTCTCGCTCCTCCTTCTTTCTGGAATTGTTCGATTGTGCAGTGCCATGCCCTGCTTGTGGCTTTAACATTTCTGTCTTCTGATTGAAGTTGCTGTCATTCCTCCTTTTCTGTATCCCCTTCATTTATGTATTAGATTCCTAAGTGAGCGTTTGGACATAAGAATTGTAAAATTTCAAAAAAAGTGAAAAAAAATTTCAAGTGAAAATAGTATTTGAAAATTAGAGTTGTGTTTGGACATGAATATAAATTTGGGTTGTTTTTTAATTTTTGTGAGTGATCAGAGTGAAAATTTTGAAAAACAGTTTTTTGGAGTTTTTCAAATTTTCGAAAAATTACAAAATTCATCTTCAAGTGAAAAATTGGAAATTTTATGGCCAACCATTGATTTCGAAAAAAAGTGAAAATTTTTCGAAAGAATAGTGAAAAAGTTCTTATGTCCTAACGGGCTCCAAGTTATCTCCAAGTTATCTGGCTCCGTACTATTTTACCATTTCCTAAAAAAAAAGAGGAAAAGTTATCTGACTCTCTACTTCATTTCACCTGTTTTTTACATTTTTGTTCATTAGGTTGAGGTTGCTGTCAGGGACAATGCACAGCGATTATATGCCTCCAAGCTTAAGTCTGTTGGCCGAGGTAAATACTGATGCCTTAGAAGGCACTTTTTGCTTTTCTCTAATGTATGAGCCATTCAGAGCAAATCTCTTCACATGCTTTCTTTTGTATCGCTGAATGAAAGTAATGCTTTTCCAAAAACATTCAAACTACTTGCTTTTTTGCTTGGGATTTCCTTTTTCTATTCTTAAAATTTTCTCTCTATTGTGGTAATTTTAGCAAATCAGCTTATGTGCGTAAGTTTGTCTCTTTTGTGATATATGGCGCTTAATCCTGAATAAGATGAATTGTTACATGAGGCTCCTTGTGCTGCATGGGTTTGGTGGGTTCCACTCGTGCACCGAGAAGAGATTCTTTTCTCTGGAAGTCTTTCTCTCATTTCAAATTTCTCTATGTCTAGTGATATATCATATTGGTTTATGGGTTTTGAGGGCGTTCTGGCAATAGCTCTTGAGTCTGGATGTATCTTTATTCTCTAGGGCAGTATCGGTCTTTCTATGGCTTTTACCAGCCTTATATTGCAAATGCTAATTCTTTCATTAATTACACAAATTCAACTCCTAGTAGCTAACGGACCTTGCAATTCTAAGTTATGGTGCGTTGGGATGAAGTTCTTTCAGTTGTTTTTTCATGATTTAATTACTCCACTTTACTTCAGAAGCTTTGCATGGTTTATTTAACTACTTCACTTGTTTCTCCAGATATTGATGTGAACCAGCTGGTCAGTTTGAGAGAAGCACAGCTTGCATATCGGCTGTCGGATGAGGTAGTGCCAAAAAAATAATCACATTTCTACTTAAATACATCATTGTAAAACGTACTTTGCTCCTTGAAAAAAAAGATAAGACTGTTTTGAATTTGTTGCATGATATTCATGATCGATTTTACTATATCCATGTATTTGGTCATCATTAATATGCCCATGACTGTTTATGTGTTTGCAGCTTGCAGAAGAGATGTTTAAAGAGCATGCAAGAAAGCTTGTTGAGGAATGCATATCACTTGCTCTTGGCAGTTTGAAATCAAGAACAAGAGCAACGTAAGGTCTTAAGTGTGTTTAACCTCTTAAAAAGGGAACTTTGAGGCATATCCGCGACTTGAATTTCACCGGATAAATCTTTTACTAGGCAATTCTGTGTAATACAAATGGGATAACTCGTGCAATTTCTAGCACGACATAATCTTCCATATTCTTTGCTTGTATCATTTGTTTAATAAATCGATTGGGTTGTTCAGCAGGGGAGCGACACGTGTGATCGAGGAGCTTGATAAGATATTGTCATTTAATAATTTGCTAATTTCACTGAAGAACCATCGTGATGCTAGTCGCTTTGCTCCGGGCATTGGGCCAGTTTCCTTAGTAGGTATGTTTGTTGGTGATCTTTGGCTGACTCTTATAGAACTTGTTTTAAAAGTCACTGGTCTCTCTCAAGTCTAAGTGAAATCCTTTCACGAAGCTTTTTTCTTTCAGCTGTTTGTTGTTTGTGTGTCAGTTTGGTACCTGGAGTTAACTTCCCTTTTTCCTTATTCTTTTCCTTCCTGTTCCTTCAGGAGGGGAGTATGATGGTGATAGAAAGATGGATGACCTAAAACTTCTCTACAGAGCATATATTACAGATTCTTTGTCAAGTGGTCGGATGGAAGAAGACAAGGTATGGTGATTAAATTTTTCTCTCCTTCTTTCTTTATAGGGTTTTTGGAATTTTCCTTTTCTACTTTCCTGCCATTTTGGCAGGAAAGTTTGAGATTCTCTCTTCTTTTCTCCTTGCATATGTCGGATTAAGTTACGTTTAACATATATTTGCTTCTTGGGAGGGGCTTGAAAAGATTAAAGGGGAGGGTTATTCATTGATATACTTTTCCTATGAAAGATGGTTTATCCACCTGCTTCTGTTTTTGGGTATGAATGGACAAGAAGTTAAAGGAGAACACACATTTCTTTTTATCCAGCTTCACTATATTAAACTTCTGGTACAGGTTTAAAAATTAATACTTGTTGATTTGCTTTCCTATGGAAGATAGCTTATGCACCCCCTTGCGTTTGGTATGACGACACTGGAGCAGACACATATTCTTTTCTCTTTTCTAGCTTCCTTGTGGTTGAAAATGCTGACATGGGAAGACAGAATATCCCTCCATTTTTACTCCTTTGTCCCATATCTCTTGCTTGTCCTCCTGCCTCTTTGTTCTACTAAACTTATGATAAGTTAATGGAACTAGAACCAAAAAATGGATGATGTGGTTGTTCAATCAAGAGGATTAGCACGACCTTTGTGCAAAGGTGACATGCACTAATCTAAATGTGGTCCGAGTTGTCTGATGAGGATGAAAGCAAGAAAGACTAGTTTGATAGCGGCTCTTGTCCTAATTATGCTAAGTTGCACACTTGCACAAATAGGCTTGTTGGCTTCAATTGCTTTTCTCCAGAGGATCTCATATTTTCCCAGATGAGAGTGATATACACGTGTATTAACATATTTGGTAGAGCATATTATAGAAGGGAGCTCTTGGTTGTCAGCATCACATGTATTGCATATGCTCCATGTCCCTAAAAACATGTCCAATGAGAAAAATATAGCACAAAAAGCTGTAGTATGTTGGGTGCACCTAAGGGTGTAGCCAAGTGGTCAATGAAGTGGGTTAAGAATCATGAGGTCTCAGGTGGCAAAAAAAACTAGGTGATTTCTTCCTATCTGTCCAAGGCTTGCTTGTTGCTGGTGGGAAGTAGCAAGTATCTCGTGGAATTAGTCGAGGTGTGTGCAAGCTGGCCCAGCCACCATGGTTATTTAAAAAAAGGCTGTAGTATGTTGAGTCCTTTCTTTTGTTTATATCTACATTGATCCTTTTCTTACCCTCTTTTATCTTTTTTTTTTCCTTGAGAACATTCATTTTTTAGAACATTAGAACTATGAAAAAGTACATGTATTGGTTTTTGAATTTCATTCTTGGTAAATATGTTTCTGCCACAAATATATTGATGATATATTTGGAGTACCTTTCTATGAAAACATAAGGTTATAAAAACGTAGATAAGGTTATAAAATAGAGTAGATAATAAATTTGGAGTAATTCAACCTTGTTGAATCTTGCTTTGTGGGTGTAGGCTGATATCACTACAATATCTAATGATGTAATAATAGAGTTTGTTTAATCATTGCGTGCAAATCAGTCAAAAATAATTGCATGCAAATCAGTCAATGTTCTTTGGCTCTTTTAAGTTGCACGCAAATCAGTCTATGATCCTCTTTGGCTCTTTTGATAGCTGCATGCTAATCAGCCTAAGTTCCTCGTCATTATCACATAAGGATTACTCTTAGCTTGATTCAGGAAACAGATTTCTCATTGATGAGATGGTTGTGGGACCAATCAGTTTCTAGACCGATGTGCTTGTAATATTGGAGTATATTGGATCATTGTTTAAGTAATGTGTTCAGTTGGTTCTGCACCCTAACGAGTAGGAGTTCCCGTGCATCGTCTCTAGGCCATTTGATTTTCTTCTGTTTGTCATTTAGTTGTATGCCTTTTAACCGTTCAATGTTATTTCTTCTTGTAGCTTGCTGCTTTGAACCAATTGAGAAATATATTTGGTTTGGGGAGACGAGAAGCAGAGACAATCACATTGGATGTCACTTCAAAAGTATACCGTAAACGACTTGCTCAAGCTGTTACCAGTGGTGATTTAGAAGCTGCTGAGAGCAAAGCAGCCTATCTTCAAATGCTGTGTGAAGAATTAAGTTTTGATCCGCAAAAGGCTCTTCAGATTCATGAAGGTAACTCATGACTTTACTGTAACTTTATCTTCTAATGGATATTGAGTGACATTTTCATTTTCAATCTTTCTGGAGAGGGAAGCCTCTTGTTAGTAGTCAAGTTTTTAATCACATCGAGGAGTGCTAAGAAGAACTTGTTGAGGCTATTGGTTTGAGTTTCAGTTGATTCATCTATGATGCAAAGATATAACTGAGCTGTCCATTCAGTACAAGAGTGTCGACTTTCTTTTTCTGATTCGGTAATAAAACCTCCTCCTGAAGCAGTCCTTGAAACTTTAGTTGTCCCCATTTCTGCATAGTGCATAGCATGTCAGTTGACTAGAATAGGAGAGGTGTTTGTAGTGTCACGAGTTTGCTTACCGGCCATTAGTAATTTCATTTTATAATTGAATATCCTGATTCTGTTGTGTTTTCCGTTTTGGAGTGTTGCAAGTGAGGATGCAAAATGTTGAGAATGAGGCTATAAGATTAGAGAATGCTTAAGGGCGCATCAACCAAACAAGTAGACCTATGGAGGGATTAGGGAATTTTCGATGTTTGTCCTATTGGTTTGTGTACAACGTTGACCACCTATCTATAGTATCTTGGATTCTGTGCTCCAGTTTAGTCAAGGTATTATTACGCTGACAATGTTTTGAGCCACCTAGGTAATGCTATGTGTCGTCTTATGAACTAAGTTTTTTTCCTGAAATATGCAACATGAACTTTACTATGTGCCTGACGCATTCATCTGAAACCTTAAACATTATGAAAAGATAATTTGAACTGTTGTATTCTGTCACTGGAAAAGCTTGTCTTTACTTTTCATTTTCAGAAATCTATAGGCAAAAGCTTCAGCAGCTTGTCGCTGATGGAGAACTTAGTGATGAGGACATGAAGGCATTGGAACGCCTGCAGGTCATGCTTTGCGTTCCCAAGCAAACAGTTGAGGCGGCTCATGCAGATATCTGTGGCAGTTTATTTGAAAAGGTAACCACCAGTCTCTTCTCTATTTATGCGGCGTCAATTAGTTCATTTTTATGCTATGCAGCTGATTGGGCTGTAATGGCATGAGGCAAATTTTGCTGTGGATTATATAAGAATTTGTGTACCCTGTCGTTTCTCTTATGTTAAATTAGCCAAGTGTAGTTTGATGTTTTGAGCAATTGCCTTTAGGAAATCACAGCCAACCCCCCTTCAGTTGCCATAGATACCTTTGGTCTAGATGGTGGTAAAATACAAAACTTCCCATACTGCTTATAATGTCATTACAGAGACCTATTTTGTGCTTGCTTTTAATTGAGGAGATAACTTGAAAACTCTGCTGTTATCTGGGAAGTTACATTTTATTCACCTGATACCCTTATCCCATGCGCTTCATGGTGTATGAGAATTGAATAAGTTGTCATAAATGTTGGGAAAAAGCAGTTAGGAATGTGAAGCTAATGGACCTTGCTCCTAACTCAAACCCAAAAGCTAGCTGATAAGGTGAGAATGACCCAAGACCATTCAAGGAAATAAACGCTCCATTTCTCAACCAATATGGGTCACTTAACAAGGACCAAAGGCTATTGCTTGACTGCTTCTACCTTGCTTACCTTCTGCCCCATAATTTTTGTGCATGTATACTTTCAAATGTGAAAGTGCCCTCTGTCAAATGCATTTCTTGTATAGATCTACTACATATTTGGAAATATTAGACCTTTTATGTGGAGTTACTTTTCATTTAGCTTATTGTTATTTTAACTTTTTTTTAGAACATTGTGATATTTAGTCCAAGTGGGATTTTACTAGGTTGTTGTTGTTATTGTGATATTTAGTCCTAAAAATTGCTTTGATCAAGTTGCAGTTTTACCCCTGAAAGTCAAATGCGAACAAAGAGTAGTGTGTATTGTATGTGTGAGAATGCACAGGAGAAAATCTATTTTATTAACAATGATACAGTGAGCCCTATATATAATACATATTCTACTCCTACTACATATAGGACTAGGACATATTCTACTCCTACTACATATGGGACCATGACTATTTACACGGGAGAAATTCAAAAATAGCCACAATTTCAAAAGTAATCGAAATATAGCCACTTTTCATGTAAAGATAAATCTGAACGAAAACACTTCAAAATCCGGAAAAATACTCCAGCATAATATATTGGAGTTCCAGTATAATATATTGGTCCAGCATAATATACTGGAGTTTGGAGCACCGGTGCTCCAGTCTCCAGTATATTATACTGGAGCCAGCAAAGTATGCCGGTCCAGCATAATATGCTGGAAGTTCATGCACAGGTGCACCGAACTCCAGTATATTATGCTGGACCGGTCTCTGTTGCAGCAAAATAATGGCTATTTTTCATTGACTTGGCAAACACTGACTATTTTTGAATGACCAGTCCGAAAACTGGCTACACCGTGCTATTTTAACTATTTACACATAACTATCTAACATTCCCCCTCAAGCCGGTGTATACAAATTATATGTACCGAGCTTGTTACACATGTAACTAATAAGAGGACCAATGAGAGACCTGGCGAAAATATATGCAAACTGATCATTCGACATACAAAGCCCTATACTCCCCCTAGCAACAAACCCCGGGTGGTTGTTGATAAACAGAAGTTGCTATGGAAATGTTTTGTCTTGCTATGCCTGACACAAACAGATAAAATGAATTGAAGAGTCGGGGTCATAAACGGAAATCAAACCAGTTTAATTCTAAAAACCAAGAACGTCAAGCCCCATTCCACAACTAACATGCACTAAAGAAAACTAAGTAGAGGTACCCATTACTTACTTTTCATCTTCCTTTTCTTCGATATTTAGAATGATTTGGAGTTGGTTGTCAAATGGATAAATTTTGCCTCTACATTTTGTCTTCAGCATTCACTCTTTCTTGTGAGAGAATCATTTTTCCAGATGGGTTACTTATAAAAAAAAAGAATACATATTTCAAGATGGTTATTTTGGAAAAAAATTTGGCACTGAGCTGCAGGAGCAAGTTTTTACGGCGCGGTAGTTCTTGTGGCTACAAAATCTTCTTGCGAGGGGAAGTAGCTGTGCTATCAATGGGTTTCAAGTAGAGAACCAGAAGGAAGTAAGCAATGGAGCAAATGTTGTCAGTTTAACTGTCTATATAGTTAGCTTTTTGTAGAAAGTGTCTCTTTTCCTTTTTGTTCTTGTTCCTTTGAAAATTCGCATCTTATGCTACAGGTAGAAAACTTAGGATGATTGAATGGAGTGAAATGCAAACTTTCCCCAATAAAAGCAAAGGAACAAGAACGATTTAACTTTCATTTATCTGTGATTTGGTTGAAGGTTAAATTTTTTCATCTAGTAATTCAGATGTTTTCATAAACTTTGGCGGTGCTGAGTGTAGTTAGTGATTAGAGTTTACGTGTACTGAGTCGAAACCTGCTAGTAGGGTTTGCTTGTCTGTTCACAACAACTATTCTATTACCATGTATGATCTGCAGAAAGCAGAAGCCCATTGTCAACTGTAGTAGTATGTGGCATCTTATGCCATAAAACTCATTCTACTGAAGTAGGCAGTAGTAAATTATTTCTCACCCCCCTCAATTTTTCATCCTCAGTCGATATATATGTGTGCTTACATATGCATCAGTATGCACCTCTCAGTATGTAGATAATAGAAAGCTCCTGATTGGAGCACTGTCCCATTCCGTGTCCCCTGCCAGCTTGTTTTCCTATGTCAATTTTAGCAAGTTCTTCCATTCTGGTTTCTCAGATAGTGTAGAATTAGTTGATTTGGCGTTGTCTTGTTACGTACAGTAATCACATTGTAACAAGCCACGTTTGTTAGAGATTTTGTTTCTTAGATTGTGAGTTTTTAGTTTTCAGTATTTAAGTGGGTTGATCTCTTTCAACTTCTTATGGTGTAAAAGGTGTGAAATTGAGCTAATCTGATTCCCTCCTGTCACCCAATATAAATATTGTTTGCAGGTGGTTAAGGAAGCAATTGCTGCTGGTGTAGATGGTTATGATGCTGAAATCAAAAAATCTGTGAGAAAGGCAGCATATGGTTTACGGTTAACCAGGGAGGTTGCCATGTCTATTGCTAGTAAGGCAGTAAGTATCAGGATGCTAATTCTCGTTTACAGCTTGTAAAAGTTTAATTTGATTCCACAATCAGAAATATACCTCGACTAGTATTTTATTCATTTTTTGTCTACCAAATACTATATCATCATTTCCTAGAACACGTGGCAGTCTAATGCATAGAAGAGCGATGATGCATTCAGTTTGTCCAATCAACTGAGCCAAGTGGTCTGCAGTGAAAATTTATGGAGCCTACAATGGCAAAAGTGTCTTCATAGCCTAAAACTAACAATACAACTACAGTACCTACACAAGCTAAACCAATCAAAATAATTGAATCACCTGAAATTACCAAAGAAGCCCTTGGTCGGCAAGCTGGCAAGACAACGCCCAGCTGCTTCCAAGGCTCTTCTATATATTAGAATATCTTTCTAATTACATTCAGTGGCTTCACAAATACAGGTCAGAAAGATTTTCATCAGTTACATTCAAAAGGCCCGAGGATCTGGAAGCCGCACTGAACAAGCCAAAGAACTGAAAAAGATGATAGCCTTTAATAGTTTGGTTGTGACTCAACTAGTTGCGGACATCAAGGGTGAATCGTCTGATACACCACCAGAAGAGCCTCAAAAGGAGCAGGTTCAACAAACCGACGAGGAGGATGGGGAGTGGGAGTCCTTGCAATCACTAAGGAAAGTAAAACCCAGCAAGGACAATTTGAGAAAGGAAATCCAGACTGAGATTTCTCTCAAGGATGATCTTCCGGAAAGAGACAGAACTGATCTTTACAAGACATACTTGCTCTTTTGTCTAACTGGGGAGGTTACTAGAATTCCTTTTGGGGCCCAAATCACCACAAAGAAGGATGATTCAGAATATGTTTTGTTAAGTCAACTTGGTAGCATCCTTGGGTTGACTGATAAGGAAATTGTTGAAGTGCACCGAAGTCTAGCTGAGCAGGCTTTTAGGCAACAAGCTGAGGTGATCTTAGCTGATGGACAGCTAACCAAGGCCAGAATGGAACAGCTTACTGAATTGCAGAAGAATGTTGGCTTGCCACCTCAGTATGCCCAGAATATAATAAAGAGCATCACAACAACAAAACTGGCGGCAGCCCTTGAAACTGCTGTTGGTCAGGGAAGGCTGAGCATTAAGGAGATTAGAGAATTGAAAGAATCTTCAGTAGATATAAACACCATGATATCTGAGAGTTTACGTCAGAATCTTTTCAAAAAGACAGTGAATGATATCTTCTCATCTGGTACCGGAGAGTTTGACGAAGTAGAGGTATATGAGAATATCCCAAAAGATCTTATTATTAATGCTGAGAAGGCCAAAAAAGTTGTTCATGAACTAGCTCGTAGCAGGTTATTAAACTCGCTTATTCAGGCTGTATCCCTTCTGAGGCAGAAAAACCATAAAGCATTGGTATGAGTCTGATATGAAGATGCTATTGGTTTTGCGTGAATAATGTCGTAATTTTGCAGTTTTAACGCTTCTCTGTGTTTTTGTAGGTTTCGTCTCTCAATGATTTGCTAGCTTGTGACAAGGCCGTTCCTTCGACCCCATTATCTTGGGAGGTGCCAGAAGAACTGTCTGATCTTTTCATTGTATATGCGAAGAGTGATCCTGCACCGGATAAGTTGTCCAGGTTACAGTATCTGTTAGGTATAAGTGATTCAACAGCAGAAACTTTGAGATCTATGAAGGATAGAGAACTACCAAATGGGGTAGGGGAGGAAGAGTTTGTATTTTGATTTTTTTTTATAGCTTCTGATGAATGTCTGAATATCAGGCGAGAGAGAGAGAGGGGGATGGGTACTGGTAATTTTTTTCATTTAATGTAATTGAGGTATCTTTGTGCTTTAAGATGTGAGCAGAAATGGTAGTATCGTTTTTTTGGTATTTAGTAACTGGTTGAGCACTGTTATGCTTTTTGAGTTTCTTTGTTGCTTAGTTACAAATTGGACTTTCTTCTCCTTTTAGAAGGGAAAGGAATTAAAATGTACCAATGAAAAGATAGATTTAATGCAAGGCTTTTGTGTCTCAATTTTCATTTCCTTGGTGAGTCAGGATGAGAGGGAACTTTGTGTCAACAAATCTTAGCCTATAACAAAGACGTCTAAATGGGCCTAAAGCCAAATTTTAATAAGGGGCTCTAATTTTTTGTCAGTAGTATAGTTATTTGCATAATATAGTATTAATATTATAGTGATTTTTTATTTTTTCTTTCTTTTTGTTTATAGTGGAGTTATCTTATAAACTATAATATTAATATTGACATTGGTCAAGAAATTCAAGTTAGTAAGATGTTAGCCACGTATTTACAATTCGTTACCTTTCTATTGTTAAAAAATAGATGGTCTTTCTTTCCATATTTATAAGGATTTTGTATTTTTTTTCTTTTCTATAAACTTCAATATTGTCTAAGCAAAACTAAAATAGTAATTCCACAACTAAAAATATTATTTGGGCCCCAAAAACTTAGGGGTAAGGCTGCTTATCTATTTACTCTTAATGGTTTGACTTATCGATTATCGGCTTTTAAATGTATTAATCCGCTAGCCACCCGATAAGATATCGGGTGGATTGGTATCAGTTTAACTCTTATCGGGCGGTTTATCGGCCTAATTCAAGCAAAATAAAAGAAAATTTAGTCTATATATGTTTAAATAGGTGGTCGACATACTAAGAGGGACGAAGCAGAAGAGACACCGTGATGGGTAAATCATCTGTCTAAAATCTTATTTATGCTTATGCACATTGGCCTTAGTCCATGTGAAAGATTTCCAATTGGCTATTGTTAAAACAAATGTTCGTCATGCTTAGAATTCTAGAATGCCTTAAAACCCAGACAAAGTTGATGAAGCAGTGGTGTAACTAGTGTTGTTATCTTGTTTCAGACAACAAATTCTGTCTTTTGTCACAGTTAGATGACTCCTTTTATTTGACTTTCTTTTATTCTAGTTCACTTTGATAGAGTACCAGAGGAAGAAGGGTTTTTGATTATTTAATATATATATATATATATACTTGTAAAAATTGTGTGGGGTAGCCACTTTTTAAAGTGTATTTACTTTTTATCCAGCATTTTTAATGCTTAGCAATAGTAGCCACTAGTCTATTAAAATTAATATGAAAAGACTATGTTACCCTTTCTTCTATCTCTTTCATGTTAGGGAGAAGAACTGTGCCGGAAGGAAAACCAGTAACCAATAGTACAAACTCACATCTTGTCGCACGCTCTACAGTCTGAACACGATGAATTAGATCATAGTGATCACTATCTTAGTCCTTTTTTTCAATAATACTTCTAAAACTAGTGACCAATAATACTTCTAAGATCATATTCTAAGCCGTGATATCCATTTTTTTTTTTAAAAAGGGACTAAGAATGTGATCTTAGAAGCCGTTATTTTTCTTTTTCTTTTGGTTAGTTAGGTTCTGTAGTCTTTTATTTTTTTAGTTATTTCTTTTTGTTAATAGCTTTCTGTTGTGTAGTTTGACATCAATCTTATATGTAAATTGTAATTATTATTATTATTATTATTATTATTATTATTATTATTATTATTATTATTATTATTATTATTATTATTATTTTTTGTGTTATCCCGAGAGACCGGNGAAAAGATACAAATAATGTTTGGTTTTCTGCTACGTTATGGATCCTGAACTTACAGTTACAAGTTCAAAAGTTAAGGACACTTGGTCCTGAACTTAGAATTACAAGTTCAAAAGTTAAGGACACTTAGTCCTGAACTTAGACTAACAAGTTCAAAAGTTAAGGGCAATAGGTCCTGAACTTAGGCTAAGAAGCCCAAAAGTTAAGGACAATAGGTCCGAACTTAGAGTAACAAGCTCAAAAGTTAAGGACACTTGATCCTGAACTTATAGTTACAAGTTCAAAAGTTAAGGACACTTGATCCTGAACTTATAGTTACAAGTTCAAAAGTTAAGGACATGTAGTCATGAAGTCCTGAAGTTAAGTTCAAAAATTAAGGACATGTAGTCCTGAACTTAGAGTTTCAAGTTCAAAAGTTAAGGACATGTAGTCCTGAAGTCCTGAACTTAAGTTCAAAAGTTAAGACATGTAGTCCTGAAGTCCTGAACTTAGAGTTCTAAGTTCAAAAGTTAAGGACATGTAGTCTTGAACTTAAGTTCAAAAGTTAAGACATGTAGTCCTGAAGTCTTGAACTTAGAGTTCCAAGTTCAAAAGTTAAGGACATGTAGTCCTGAAGTCCTGAACTTAGAGTTACAAGTTCAAAAGTTAAGGACATGTAGTCCTGAAGTTAAGTTCAAAAGTTAAAGACATGAGCAGAAGGATATTTTCGTCCGGGCGGTGAAAGTTTATTAAAGCAGTGGCTAAAAACTAAAGACATTTTAAACAGTGGTTTAAAAGTAAATACATATGTTATTAGTGGCTAACCGTGCACTTCCCCCTATATTCTTAAGGGGTTAACGAATTATCCGTTAAGAAAATTGAATAATCCGCCCCTAAACCGATAAGCCGTTAATAAAAGAATTTCAATCCGTTCTCCGTCCGTTAAACCGTGAACCCGATACCAATAAGCCATTAAACTTCGGTTTCAGTTCGGTTTTCGATTTCGATTCAGTTTTGAACACCCTACTTAGGAGGCCTAAAGCAAAAACTTTACTAGCTTCCCCTTTGAGCCACCCCTCGCCTATAAAGAGGGTTCGTTTATTTGGAAAATATAAGCACAAGAAAATAATTTGGTGGCCATTATTTCTAGTGGTCTTTCTGTTTGGTTGACTCCTCTTGTTGTATTGACGAGAACAAGAAAGCAAAAGGAGAAATTTGTCCAATAGTGATAAAAGGTGCCGACATCCGATCAAACCTGGTAGTATGCAATCAGCCCAACGGACCAAAATACTCCTCGGGCGAAAAATTGATTTTCCAAGCAATAATCCAACTCTTTGAGTGCCTGCTACTTTAATTTACCTTTCCATTCTTTTCCATGTTGAACTGTCCGGTATTTGAGTTTACTAGCCCCTATATAAAATACACAAAACATTTATCCAATTCAAAAAGCAGTAGAGTGAAGAGATCAAAGAAGAGCATCCACAAAGAGATAGGCACGATTTGATAAAATGTTCAAACAAAGAGAGAAAAAAGGAAGATTACTACCATACCCCATTCCCATGCAGGGGTGGAGCTAGAGTATTTTCAGCCAAATCTAATAGGTTTGATTCGAACCCTGTATTTGCTTTAAATATTTTATTGAATATACATAAATTATTAATTTAGAACTCAATATTAGAATTCCAAACCTTTAAACTTGAAATCCTGACCCCGCCTCCGTTCTCATGCCCATTACGGGGAAGAGGAAATGTGATGAAGTAACATTTTCTAGAACTGAACAATTTGAGGCTGAGAATGGATCGATCGTCTGCTCCCACAAAATCTCTTTTTGCACCAGATACTAGTCATTTCCCAGAGAAACAAAGCCCTTTCAGCTGCCTGCAAAGTAGAAGTTCTGCAGCTTTAGAACTGCAGACCCTTCAAGCACCTTGATTTCGTGTTTCGGAAAAAAAATTAATAACTTTTTCAATTGAAAAGATTCTAATTTTTTTTCCCAATCAAACGCCATTAGATGTAGGCTTTTGCAAATGCCACATTATTGTCTCAAATCTTCACAAATATAAAACCATGTAAAGCTCCCAGCTAATTGTGACCATATACAAGTGAAAAGTTTTTGTATTTTTCAAGTAGGAACTACAACAATGAACATATGCAAATGTGAAAAGGATAAAAATTTGATAGAGGTGGTTGATTTTCAGGCTCTCGGCCATTAAATTATGAATTTTGGCCTAGATAGTGCAGAGGGAAAATGCTGTCACTGCTGTACATTGTTTTTTCACATTAACTTATTTGAGTAGTAAGTTAAAAAGCAGTAATTTGATATCACCCGACTTATTTATCATTGCCTTTATCTTTCTGTTTTAGATCATACATTTTTTATGATTCATCAGTGATACGAGCTGAGCTAAAATAGCATAAATCGAAAGGAAAATAAAAAAGGACAATGAAACAGTAAAAAAGGAATGCAAGCTAATCTAGGGCAACAAAAATAAGGTTCTGTGTATTCATAATGAAGAAAGAGATAGTCACTACAATATATAGAAATTGCAGACCTTAATTCCTTAGCTGGTAATGTATGACCTTTGCTATTTCTAACTACCTGGGTTGGACCTAGTGTGTATAAGACACCCAAATACGTGGGGTCAATGTGTAATTATTGTAACTATAACTTAAAAGTAAAAAGGACTTAACTGACTAACTTATAAACTTTTTCCTAACCTTGTCCTCAACTAACTTAACGGCTAAGTACAATTGCGCAAACACAAGATACCACTGCTGTAGCTTTTCTCTTTTTAGATTCATTTTCAAATCTCCCTTGTTAAAATTTTCCTTGCCCTCAAGGAAGGAATGAATGGAACCTGATTTTGAGAGATTGGTAATCCTCCCAAGTGGCTTGATTTGGAACTGCTTTATCCCATTGAACTAACACCTGTGCGATGGCCTTGTTCCCTTTCTGTATCAGTTTTTTATTGTGAATTTGTTGGGGTTGAGGACAATATGGGCTGGATATATCGATTACTGGTGGGTGGGAAATTATGTCAGGTAGTTTATAGCAGGGTTTCAACTGTGATATATGGGATGTATGGTGTAGTAGGAGCAAAGGGGCATGTACAACTTGGAGAAGTGAGTTCCCGAGAGTGTCACCTGCTTGTAAGGCTGTATCTTGAGGTAAACCCAATCCCCCTCTTTAAATTGTCTATCATTTCTATGTTTATTAGCTTGGCCATTCATTCTCTGTTGTGCCCTCTGCAAGTGGTACTGCAACAACTGGTACTTGAATTCCCTTGTTAACAGGCTTTTATCTACTTCTTCTATAGCTGAATCACCTTCCATGTAAGGTAAGTGAAGTAGTGAGGGTTGGCCATAAAGGGCCTCATAAGGGGTGGTCTGAATTGAGGAATGAAATGTGGTGTTATACCACCACTCAACT